ATTGGATGATAATCTAACCTTTCTAAAAAAACCTGCAAAAGGTTTCCTTGTTAATTTCAGGGATTACCTATAGAAAGGGGTCAGTTTAAGTCAGTCTGCAGATCAGTGTACCATGCACAAATTTCCCTTGATCCTGCTCCAACAGTTTGTTCTGCTCTCTATATCCTACTTTCTCAGTGAGTCCTCCATGAGTCAATGGGGATGTTGCATTTTTTCCTGGAGACTTTATGGACATCCTTGAAGCATTTTCTGTTAACTACTTACCAAGAAGTTCGGAGGAGAGACTTATTTTGGAAGGGAGTCCTCAAGATGTTATTGCCTGTACCTCATGATGCAGGAAATAATCGAACATCTACAGAAAAAGAATTTTCTAAGTATTGGAGAAATCTTCCCTTCCTCACCTCCGGTAATGTTTTCAAAAATGCCTTTCATTCTTCTTTTCATCTATGACATTATTCCTAGACTTGAGAGAGATTGAGAGAGATCGAGAAAGAGAGAATTTCACTGTGTCATCTTCCTTCAAGAGGTTGTGCTCATTAGAATTTTCTCCTTTAAACTTCCTCGATTGGTCTTCACTGCTGCTACTTTCACATCTTTGTGATTATCACAGCCCAAGGACTAGCCATCACCAGAAGCTGTCATTCCTTTAAACTATAATGTTAGTTCCCCAACTAACACAAGAGCTCAAACATCCTACATGTCCTCTAAGAAAACAGGGAACATTGTTGAAGATTAGTTCCTCAAACAATAGAGTGTTGTGGGGGGAGAAAGTGGAGTAAAAGAGTTAAATATTTCTGGTTGAATAATGGTAAAAATGGGTACCATTAAATAAAAAAAACTTAGGAGATGCAGACTAAGTACAGCTACTGACACTGTGCAAAAAAGGTACGATATCATAGTGGTATCAGATCATATGGAACTGGAGCTTGGGTCTGTTGGTTCCAGATAAATGGAGCCATTGCTGGGACTATTTTTCTGACTAAGTTATGTTCAATTGTAAGTGGTTACTTTCAATAAAGCTTGTTGCAGTTAATTCACCAGAATGTAAATCTCACATTACTAGACACGGACACCCCCAAGAGCAACTGTATTTAAATATTAACTGATTTGATTAGATGCTTTTGGCTCTTCTTTGCAACAGTCTTCATCAGGCTCCATGACATTCTCTCTGCTAAAGCCACTTCTTCAGGAATCACTAATACCTGGACCTTTTCGGAGAAGAAAGTTACACAGATCAAAGCAAGCTACAACAGTGCATGCTATACATTCAGGCAAGCATTACACAGTTGTTCCATCCATGCAATGAAAGCATTCTTAAGGTTTTTCTTATTCTGTTATCTGTATTGAAGCACTTTCGTTGTCGTAATGCTCATTGAAGGAGACATGATGTCTGATGACAATGGTTTCATTTAATCAAAAATGCACATAATCATAAACAATCCCTTCACATAATTGTCAAACAGGTCAGAAAGGCTGGCACTCCTGTGGATGAAAGCTTCACAACCTTCAGTAAATTTGACATTTATGTAGAGGAATTAATGGGGTTTGTTTTACACAGTCTGGAAAGCAACAATGATTTTATTCCACTCTGGTGCAGAGAATCCTGAGGTAACAGGCAGTCCAGTGCTGGACACACACCCTGCTTTAGGGGCTGTAGGTGGTGTTCAAGAGGTGAGTGTGATAAATCGGTTTTTCAGACTTCTGCTGTTTGTGCTTGGCTTCCACCTGGGCCTGTTAGAGACGTTCAAAATGGTTGGCAACTTCAAGGATTCCTCTTCTCCAGTTTGATTGGTTTTAGTCAAAAGATTTCCATGATTCAATGGGGATGTTGCATTTTTTCCGGGAGACTTTATGGACATCCTTGAAGCATTTTCTCTGCTTTTCAGTTAACTACTTGCCAAGGAGTTCAGAGGAGAGAGCTTAATTCGGAAGTTTTAGACCAGCTATGTGGACAATGTTGGTTGCCCAACACAGCTGAGTGATCATAATTGGTGCCTTAATGCTGGGGATATTAGCCTAAGAAACAACACAGTTACTTACTAGCGCTGTCATCAGATTTGCAGGATTTTGAAGAAGCAGTAATAATATTTCTCGGGAATTTGAAATGCTTGTTGTACATTTTCTATGTCTCTGATGCATACAGAAAGGCAGGTAACAGTGTTTCCCTGTTGTCTATGAACTTGGAGCTGGGTTTGAGATCTTCATTATCAAACACTGTTCCTCAGATGACTAAAGGCTGCACTGATGCACTTTTGGGTGATGTAGATTTTCATCATTGATGTCTTTCCTCAAATGACAGGTGCCTCCCAAGGTATAAGAATTGGTTTACGTTGTCCAGTGGCTCACCATTGATCTTTTGAGTGTGGGGAGCAGGCTAAAAGAGGACTGTTAGCTTCCAGATGTTTAACCAAAGGCCCATTCTCTTATATACCTTCGCAAATGTGTTCAGTGGTTTGAACATCAGCTGTGAAAGGTATGCATGCACAAACATCATGCTACACTTAGCGCTCTCGGTTTTGCATTAGAGATGACACAGATTTTAAAAAAGTCTCTTGCTCATCTTGTATGGATGTCCCAGTCCAGTGAGAAGCTTCACGGATACGAGAGAAGGTGTTGCAGTGAAAAAGATAGAGAAGAGCACTGGTGTGATGACAGAGCCTTACTTGACTCTGGTTCAAACACTTATCGGCTGTGATAAATTCATTGGTGAGAATGACAGTTTGCATATTGTCTTGCAGCAGACAGACTACGGTAATGAATTTCTGTGAACAGCCAAATTTGACAAGAATGTTCCATAAGCCCTCCCAGAAAGACAAAGGCTTTTGTAAGGTCAAAGGAGATCATTTATAATGATTGTTGTTGCTGTCTGTACCATTTGTTTTGGACATTACTTACTGTTAGGATCACATCCATTGCGCCTCTTGATGGACAGGATCCACACTGTGACTCTAAGATCTCTTCACTGACTGGGGGGTAGTGAAAGGGGAGAAGTTTTTGCAATGACCATCAGTGTGGTAGACTGCAAAAAGACCTCTCTGCTGCTACCATAAATCAGTTTTATCATCATTCTTGAAGATGGTCATAATTACAGAATCTGAGGTCTGTTGGCATGCTCTCCACCTCTACATGTGGGACAAGAGGTCATGCATTCATACAAGAGCGCTTCTCGTCTATTTCAGTATTTCAGTAGAGATTCAGTCTGCACTGATGACCTTGTTAGTACACAGCTTTTGGATGGCCATATGTCAGGCTGAGGTTCTGCTGAGATGGCAATTCTGTTGTGGGATGTGGTCAAGGGCAGCCACATGGAGGACTGAGTTTCACTTTGAGGATCTCCTCAGCTGCTCCTTCCTGTGAGAGATGAGGGCCTCTTTGTTCATGATGATGAGTGACACTCTTCTAGATGCTCAGTGCAGTAGGTCCCTGGGTGGTTGGGCTGTAGATGGTCCTTGACTGAAATGAAGAATTCACTCAAATCATGGCTAATCAGCGAGTTGCTGGAATTCCTGGAATTTCCATCCTCTGTCTGTTCTTTAGGTCACAGGTTCTTTATTGGATGCGAGTCTTAAAGAAAGAAAGCAGCTCTACAGTGAAACTAAGGTTTTGGTGGTGATTCCCATTCACAAATGCCTTATGCTTGCAATTCAGTAGCTCCTGGATCCTTTGATCATTCTCATTGAACCAGTCTTGATAATTCATGAAAGCCTAGAATCTCTTCACAAGTGGTGTTTATGATGGATTCAAGAGTCATTGACCATCACCAGTTTGGCTGTGAGGCACTGACTGGTTACACATGATCTGAATATTCAGTAAGATGACACTGTTTCTATTCTGAAGGTTCAGTGGACTTGATGCAGGAGGTAGCAATGCTAGATAGTTGCCATCTCTCGCAGCCTGATATTGGAGATACTTGCAACTGGATGATTCTACAGCGATGTTCTTGATATCATGCCAAACAGCTTGAATACTCCAGCTCCACTAAAAATTATGTTAGGTTTCTGACAAATCCCTGGCTGACTATACAGATTCCACATGGTCGCTTGGAATGAGCCAATGGCATAGCAATTGTGTAGTGAAGTTTTCCAGCTACAGACACAGCTGCTCAGCAGATGATCTTGGCTAAAGGTCTTCATTGCAAAAGCTGGCATCGTTCTCCCATTGCTTTTGTTTCAATAAACAATACTTTCACGCAAAGATCCTCGCTGCTATCTTGGACAGATTACCAAGAACTGTCAACTCTTTGAGGGGCTAACTGCCTGTTATGTTTTATCCTCCTCAAATACTGCTTCACTTTTATTATGCTGACTTGCAATCTTCTTCTACTGGTGATAAACCATTCCTTGTATAAGCCCCAATGCTGTCAGAGTAAGATGGGCTCTGTACAGGCGCACTGCAAAACTCAAAACTACTCCAAACAGCCTCTTCAAATACAGCAACCATTGTTCAAAACCTCTCAAGGCTGTGATCTACAAGTTCTTACCAATTCAGGCAACAGAAGCACCTCATTTCTTACATTGCCCTTAGTTCCTGGCCCATATCCAATACAAATTTGCATATACAACGTGAACTTCAGGCAATCTTAGCTTACACATTGGCCTAATGGAAACAGAATCTACCTTCATTTGCAGATTTTGCAGGGAAGTTCAATGCTTGCATTTCTAAAATGCTGGGAAGTGTTTGGAAATTTAAGTTACATGTGAAGAAAATCTTGCCATGTCAGTTTGAAACTACCATATTGCTTTACTGCTATATTCCAGGTGATAATTTCATGATCATTTATAAAATGATGAATTTTAAAGTTGTAACATGCCAAGTTGTATCCCTGAATACCATGTAAAAGTGGATTTAAATCTACATTATGTGTAGCAGCAACAGAACGCAAATACAACTTGCTCAGGTTTTGGTTAAAAAAATTCCAGTCAGAATGACAGCAATTAAAGGATGTAAAACAAAAACCAGACAAGACTGTCCAGTACTAACAACTCATTCGCTTCACACACCTGAGCAAAATTTGCCATCTCCTTCGTAGCCAGGAGCACACTTGCAGATGTGTTCACGTTCATTTATTGGGAAACATTGTGCTCTTGGATCACAAGTGTGGCTTCCATCCTGACATGGATTTACTGTTTCAGGCCTTGAATTACCTGTAGAAAGAACAGAGAAATACATGACAAACTGCATTGGAAAGAAGGGTTATGCATTTTGTTTGAGGGGTGGGGGGAGGTGGGGGGGTGGGGGTGGGGGTAGAACTACACATATAACTTCAGAAGGCCGGTTATATGATGACTCAGGGAGAGGGGAATAATTTAATTTAATTGGTATGCTGATAATGAAACTGGACTAATAATCCAGAACCTCCAGCAAATGTTCTGAGGACATTGGTCCTGACCATTAGGGCAGGTGATGAAACTTTAAAATCAATAAAAATTTGGAATAAAAATAGCTCGACTGATGGAGACCATGTAACCAATAGTAGTAAAAACAAATCCTTTCCAATTCAATTAAAGACCTTTAGGAAAAGAAATTTGGTCCATCCTCACCTGGTCTGGACTACATGTGACTCCAGACCCTCAGCAATGTAGGTGATTTTTAACTGCTGTCTGGGCAATTAAAAATGGACAATAATGTCCACATTCATGAAAGAATAATAAGAACAAAATGATCTTGGAATGGAAAAATCAAGAACGTAGAACAGTAGCTCCTGTAGGACAGCGTACAAATCAAATATGGGGCTAGTAAGAAAATGTATTGCAATAATCTGAGCAATTTTAATTTTCATGCAGATTCAGACACAAAATTCTTGACTACACGCTATGCAAGTTTCTTTAAACTTTCCCAGTCTGGGGAGTTGCATTGTACATCAGTGTGTCTTCTGTGATAACAATATAATCAAATCTTCAGAGTTCATGTTATCCATTTACTACAACTAAATTATAGGCAGCAGCATTACAGTACCCTGAAACAAATCAGAGAAGGTTTAATGTTCTGGTCATCCTACCATTAAACCCAGCTCAATAAAAGCTTCATTGTCCTAAATTCATTCATATTTGGAATGAAATTTGTACCAAGAGCACATAAAATTGCTGAAAAGTGTTTTTAAAAGAATTATTGATCTAAATTACATTTTATTACTAATCAACAATGTCCAAAATACTTTCCCATTGTCAATAAATAAGCTTATTAGAAAAGTGTCCTAAATATTTCAAATCAGAGAGCTCATGATCCCCATCCCAATCAGACACTTTGCCATTCATTGAAATAATAGGACTTGCTGACCTCAGGTCAAAATCCAACTTATTCACTTCTTCAAATTAAAAGAGCCTTGTTAAGATATCTGACACATCAGGATCATGTCTCAAGCTCTTTAATGATCTTACTGTTCGGTCATTATTCTTTTCTTGCCCACCTCTTTTATGAATATATTTTTATGGCTTAATACATGAGCAAGTACTTTCTATTCAGGAATGACCAGAAGGCAGGGTCAGTGTTACTGTGCAGAATGGTATATTGTTTAAGGATTAAGCAAAAAATATTCATACACCAGCAGGTGATGGCAGATTTTAGCTAGCATGCATATAAGACAATTAACTCCTTAATAAGGAAAGAAATGGTTAGGATACTTTTAAACTGCTAACTGAACGTTTATTATTGTTTAAATGCTGTCTAGAACAGGCATTGAGAATTCCACTCCCTTATTCTTTCTTCACGGAGCTAATTAAACATAAAAATGTAAAAGTTGTGTGAGATTCTAATCCAGAAATGATTTACCTCTGGCAGGTCCAATCTGGTTAATCATTGCATATCTAACAACCTTCTCACTCTCATTATAAAGCACAAAAATACGATCAACATTCAGTTGTTGACTGGCTGGAATGCTCCTAGGCGCATGTTCACAGTCATAGTAGGTAATGTTCTGCCTCAATTGATATTGAAGTGTCCGTGTCTCACCACTCCTGGTTTCAACAGAATACTCTCTGTTGGTTGCAGAGGTAATTGCTGCAAAGGGGAAGTTTGAAAGTAAAATTAGTATCTGTGCTACTTGCAGTGTTACAGAAACTTAAAAGTGAAACATTGAGAATTTAAATATGGTTTATACTTGTCAGCACATTGTTTATAAAGTCTGACAGCATTTATATAGTCAGCTAATTTAGAACAGGATTGGTTATAGTCCATTACAAAGCTGTTCACCTGCCAAGAGAATATTAATCTAATTATTTAGCAGCTGCTTTCAGAGAAAATTTCAAGACACGTAATTTGAAACAAAAGACTGAAATGTTTCACATTTCACAATAAAAATTATGCAATAGAAGAGAAAAACAACTTAATGATGTTAATGTACCAGAACTGGAACGGTGGTAGAGTTCATCATACGGCTGGATCTGGACTTTAGCACCTTCGGCAATTTCAGGCAATTCACCTTCAATTTCAGTGGCAATGCTGAGATAATTCTGTGTATCAAGTCCTTGAGCTATTTGCATTATATTTAACTTCTCATTGCCAGGATAGAAGATGATATCAACATTGCGAATAAATTTAGCACCTACAAAAAATTTTACAATGCAAAGTATTTATAGCAGTGACCTGCTTTTGCAAGATTGCAGTTGTTCCAGTTATCTCTTTCGTTACACCTCCACTAAAATCAATATTTCACATAATGGTTAAATTACTCCTCAGAAGCTGCTACCCCATCACCAAGCACCCTTTATTTACATAAACAGTTCTTAGTAAGTACTGCTTCACACAGAGGAAGGCACTGGTGCATCAGTATCTCTGATGCTCATTCTTTTTATCCGTCAGCCAGGGCTCCCTGATTGCACCAGAATAACCACCCCAATCAGGGAACTTATATTTTATGATGTCCAGCTGGCTGATCTTGTTATAATCACTACAGATGGTATCTTATCACAGCAGAAAATCAGTGGAATCAACTCAAATCCTCACAATGCAATTCAACTGACATCTAAATGAGGAGCAAAGGATCATGACCAATGTTTTTCTCCACAACCTAATCTGAGGTCAGCTATAGCACTACCATTCGACTCTATCATATCATGACAGTTATAAAACCATTGCATGATATAAACTGTACAGGGTGATTTGCAAAGATATACAGAAAATTGTGAAAGAAACAAAATACTTGGGGGAAGAAAAACAAATAATTGCAGATGCTGGAAATCAGAAACAAAAATAGAAAATTGTTGGAAAATCTCAGCTAGTCTGGCAGCATCTGCAGACAGGCAGCAGAGTTCACATTTTGCATGCAGTGACCTTTCAGGATGCTTGAAATTTAAGTAAATGAAACCTCACCTTCAACTGGTTAGTCATCATAGGATACAGAAAAGTAGGCTGACAATAAGTGGAATCTCTGCTTGAGCAATTGTCAACTAAGTCAACACTGACTAGGAGCCTGACTTTACGTGGCTGGATTTTGAATGGGGCAAAATTGGGTACCAGATATTGGAGAAACATTTTAGTTCTCACCATTGGTGTCTTTGTCTTTTGAGCCATAAAGAAAGCTTCTAGCAAATGTGAATCATGCAAACATTTGGTCAGAATTCAGATGACACCAAGTTATAGACCAACAGGTTTATTTGAAATCACAAGCTTTCGGAGTGCAGCCCCTTCGGACAACGCTCCAAAAGCTTGTGATTTCAAATAACCAAGCTGGATTATAACCTGGTGTCGTCTGACTTCTGACATTGTCCACTCCAGTCTAACAACGGCACCTCCATATCATGCAAAAATATAGGTAATAACTCACAATTGGTGTGAGATTCACAAATTATTTATTTTAATACAGTTTAAAATTAAGAGACTGGCTTCAAACGTTCCATTCAAAAATGGTTATCACACAACATAACACAATGTTAACTTGGGTTCAAGCTTTGATTAGTGACTTCAAAATTAGGTATTTTGTAAACTGAAGCACAGATCTTAGCAACCATTTTGAAAGAACACCAAAGGACTTTTTGCTCTTCCGCATAACACAGTTTACAGCCATTCCATCATTAGGAATTGGGGTCAGGAGTTGACAATTTGTCACTTATCAATGCCCTTAATTACTCAGGATTTTGGAAACATGTCAAACTTCAATTCATGTTATATAATGTAGATGTACTTACCTGCAATGCTGAAACCATTTTTGAAGCCTGGTTGCTCCACAGCAAACAACCATCCGAAAAGATCTCCAATTATAGAAAGTGACTGCATTGCCCAACCTACCACCTCAGGAATTTGGCTAATAGCTGTAAAGGCTCTCCCATCATTTACAACTACATATGCATGCAGGTCAGCATTCCGAAACTCCACAGGCATTTGATTGGCTCCGACTATTAATTTTCCATTTACTTTTCCATTTACACGCTGGGTAACACCTACAGAGAAGTTAATCAAGCTATTATTGTGAGAATGTACAAGCGCAATTGTAGGCAGACAGTTTCAAAGCACAGAGCTAAAAGTAAGTTAAGCTAGGACCGTTATTTCTTATCTACCTTCTGGTAGACATTCCCTTCCATTGCCGTAGTAACCAGAATGGCAATGACAGCAGAATCCAGTTGAGTAATCAGCACAATAAGCCTGCTGGGAACACTGTCCCTGGTTTCTTTCACAGGTTTCCCTTGTGCCTGTATTGTACGTGAAAACTGGAAGACAAGGAATGTTTTAGTTACATTACCCAACATTTTTCCAGATTACAACAAAGACAATAGCAGTTCATAACATCTATCACCCATGAGCCAGCAACAACATTGAAAATAGCCAAATGAAACTTCTGCCAACATTGTTTTCTTTGACAAAATCTGTACCATTAGGACCCTAAACTAAGGGGAAAGTAAGCTATTCAATCCCTATTCACCACTTCAACAAATACAGGCTTTCATTGTACAATAATTTTATTTATACTTACTTTGGTTTCCAATAATTATACCACTTGATGCCTAGACATAAAAATGTCAAAATGTACAGGGATGTGCACTAGCATTTATTTTTGCCACACAGTACATTGCACTTGCTCATCAATTGTAAATGTGTTTTGTTTTAAATGGTAAACTCTAATTCTGTTGACTATTATAGATTAGAGTAGTACAGGATAATTTCAAAGTGAGATTTTTAATCATTACATCTTAATCAAATAGCACAAACTTATCGGAAATGAACTTTCCATGTTACTTACCACCAGTACCTATGTCCTGATCTTCTTCCACACTGACAACATGTCTATCATGTGTAACTGGTAATGGATTTCTCAGCAAAGATTCAACCTCTGAGTATCTTGACGCTGTCATAACCTCAGGTTGCCTCTCTGGAAATGATGGCACAGCCCCAGTCTCAGGGTATGAAGACACAATGCCTGCCTCGGGGTAACCTTCAGGATAGGATGGTATAATGCCTCCATCTGGATATGGTGGGTTCTCTGGAATCCCATGAACTCCGTCCACAGCCTCTGTGGGTATGGAGGGAGTGTATACGTTGTCTTCATCATCATCATAATATTGTTTGTAATCTTCATTGTCAGTGTATTCAGATTCCAATATATTAGGCATAACTGGGCCACTTAAAGTGCTATCCAATGTTACAACAGAGTCCTCTCTTGAAGGTGTCCCTCCCACATTTGCTGGAATTATGTTGTTAAATGAGGAAGTTCCACCGATATGAAAAACCCAAACTCCTCGAGTACCTGAATTCCCCATCCTACAGTGATCATAAAATAATGTGATTAGGCTTAATTTAATGTTAATTTTATAGATGGCATTTATAGGCTTTAGCTATTAGCGTTTCAAGCAGATTTCCAGTAAATGTCAGCCTAAATTTCACTGTCACTCAAAATAATTCCAGCTACAACTTAGTGAATATTAAGCTCAGCACAAGTTATCAAATGTACAAAACCTACAAAACTGGGTCTTTGCTATTTTACTTACTAGCAGTTTATTCACCGAGGATACTAAATTCAGTTCTTAAATATATACAAAAGTTTACAATATATTGCGTCAGAATGTGACCAGCTAAGCATTCAAATTCACTTATGCAATATTCATTTATAATTTACCGTGTAATTAAAACAAACTGCATTTATATAGAGCCTTTAACCCCGTAAAATGTCCTAGGAATAGAATGGACAAGAGCTAATTGCAATGTGAAGAAGTTGATATTAGGATAGATGTCTCAAGATTTGGTCAAAGTGGATTAAATTAAAAGGAGGAGCAAGTTGCAGAAGCAAGGTGAGTAAAAGGGCAACATTCTACATGACAATGAAAACAATCTATAATGAAAAGTACTCACTGATATAGGTTCTTCACAGATTGTTCATTGCTGGTAACACTGTAATAAGGACCCTCACTTCTCCACAGTATGAACCCAGTTTCCCCTCTGCTGAAGCCCACCCGAGCAGGCAGCTCTATCTGAACATTGTAGGACTCTTTAGGACGGGTCCCAAAGAACTGCAACCCACCTTCCGGGTAGAGGAATATTGCATAGGTGTTTGACTCATCAAAAGCCAACAGTGCTTGAAAGGTGTTGAACTAAAGAGAGAAAAATATGAATAAATTCCATTTAGTCAGACAATTTCTTCAACCATAATGATCTGTTTAAGCCCACAGAAAATGTTTAGAAGATTGAAATAAAAAGCAAAGTACTGCTGATGCTGGAAATTCTGAAATACTGTCTTGACAGGCACTGTGAGACCAGAGTTTCGAGCACTTTCTGTTTTTGATTTTGAAAACTGGATGTTTTCACATGAATATCATAGGATCAACATTATTTCCAAAATAACTTTCTTGCCGACGAATGATTGGTCAATTAGTGATGGAACCGGTGTGCATCTGGTTTTGATAAACTCAGATCAATTTGAGCAGGCAACCAACAATAAACCTAGGTCTCAAGAATCATAATAAATATACCCATCAATTATTTAGATTTAGGGTGGATTCCTTTCAACCATGGCCCACCATTAACATTGAAATGGATCCTACTGGACTGGCACGGTGGCTCAATGGTTAGCACTGCTGCTTCACAGCACCAGGGACCTGGGTTCGATTCCACCTTCAGGCGACTGTCTGTGTGGAGTTTGCACGTTGTCCCTGCATCTGCGTGGGTTTCCCCCCACGGTCCAAAGATGTGCAGGCTAGGTGGATTGGCCATGCTAAATTGCCCGTAGTGTTCAGGGATGTGTAGATTAAGTGGGTTATTGGGGGATGGGTCTGGTTGGGATGCTCCAAGGACTGGTGTGGGCTTCTTGGGCCAAATGGCCTGCTTCCACACTGTAGGGATTCTATGATCCTTCTATGACTATTTCAGCAAGAATGGTTTGCATTGTGAATATATAGTGTAGTGGTAACATTAATTGACTAGAAATATACAGGTCTGGACTATTGATCTGAAGACATGATTCAAATCCCACCATGAGAGTTGGTGGAATTTAAATTCAAAGAATAAATCAGGAGCAGGAGGCCAGAATCAGTAATGATTACCAGACTGCAATAACTTATCTGATTCATTAATGCCCTTCAAAGCAAGGAACAAGCCCTGCTTCTTTTACTGAGGAGTGCACCTCAGGAGCAGCACCAAGCATGCCTAGAAATTCAGAGCCAACCTTTAACACAGAACTACATTCATACTAAACAACAGCAGCAGCATGTTATCGACAGAGTTAAAAGATTGCACGGCCAAAGGATCAGATCATTGCTTCGCAATTCAGTCACATCCATACATCAATGCACTGGACAATTAAACAACTAAATAGAGGAGAAGGATGCACAAACATCCCCAACTACATGAGAAGCCCTACATATTTACACAAAAGATAAGGCTGTATTGATTACAAGCAACTTTAGCCAGAAGTGTTGAGTGGGTGATCCACCTTGGCCTCATCTCTAAGCACTATACCTGCCAGTCTTCAACCAACTCAATTCACTAATGTGATATAAAGAAACAGCTGTTACACCACAAATATGAACAATGGTCAACATCCCAGCCACAGGACTGACAATTCATATTTAAGAAATAGGTGCAACCCTACAACATTGAGATCTATACAGCATTGTGGAAAATTAATCAAGTATGCCCAAATCCAATCCTAGTAATGACCACCTCATCAATCTACTCTCAACCATTCACAAAGTGACAGAAGGTGACATTGTCAATGCTTTCACCATCAGCTCTTATTCAGCAACAACTTGATCATACAATTGGGCTCTGCCAGGGCTACTCTGGTTCAGACCTTGATCCAAACTTGGGCAAAAAAAGATGGATTCCAGAAGTGAGATGATAGCAACTGCCCATGATGTGAAGGCAGCATTTGACAAAGGGTGGTATCAAGGGGCACTCAAAATATTGAAGCTCCTGGGATTTGAGGTATGGGTGGGTGCAAGTGAGGAGGGATGGGCAAAATATTCCACTACCTGGAGACAAACCTAGAACAAGGCAAGATGGTTGTCTCAGTCATGGCCCCAAAACACTAGGATTCCTTCAAGGAATCTTCGGCTGCTTCATCTATGACCTCCCCTCCATCAAAAGGTCACAAAAGTATTTCCTGTGATTTCACTATGTTCAGAACTATTCATAACTCCACAGATAATAAAGCAATTCTTTCCTGCGTGCTCAAAGATATTAAGAACTGTCGATGCTGGAGTCAGAGATAACACAGTAGGCCAGGCAGCATCAGAGGAGCAGGAAAGCTGACATTTCAAGTTGGGACCCTTCTTCAGAAATGGTCCCGACATGAAACATCAGCTTTCCTCCTCCTCTGATGCTGTCTGGCCTGCTGTGTTCTTCCAGCTCCACACTGTTACCTCTTTCCTACGTGCAGCAAGATGTGGACAACATTAGACTTGGTCTGATAAGTGGCCAGTAATATTCATGCCACTCAACTGCTACACAATGACCATATCCAACGTCGATGCCAATACTAAATCTGTTGCCATCAACATCCTGCTATTTACCAGTTGCCAGGAACTTGTCTGGATCAGCATATAAAAACTGTTGCAATAACAGCAGGGCACAACCTGTGAAATCTGTAGTAACTCATCTCATGTCTCCACAAAGTCTATCCAAATAGGAAGTACAAGTTCGGAACATGATGAAATACTGTTCACTTCCTGGTTGAGTGTAGTTCCAACAAAATCAGAAAGCTTGAAGTCAGCTGGGACAAAGCAGCCTGTCTGATCCGCATCCTATCGACTACCTTCAGCATTCATTCTCCACCACCACACGCTTCTATCTCCTTCCCAAAATCCACAAACCTGAATGCCCTGGTCGACCCATTGTCTCCACCTGCTCCTGCCCCACCGAACTGATCTCCAACTATCTAGACTCCATTTTCTCCCCCTTGGTTCAGGAGCTCCCTACCTATGTCCGTGACACCACCCACGCCCTCCAGCTCCTCCAGAACTTCCAATTCCCCGGTCCCCAACACCTCATCTTTACCATGGACGTCCAGTCCCTCTACACCTGCATTCCCCATGCAGATGGCCTTAAGGCCCTCTGCTTCTTCCTGTCCCGCAGGCCCGACCAGTCCCCCTCCACTGATACCCTCATCCGCTTAGCTGAACTCGTCCTCACACTCAACAACTTCTCTTTCAATTCCTCCCACTTCCTACAGACAAAGGGGGTAGCCATGGGTACCCGCATGGGCCCAAGCTACGCCTGCCTCTTTATAGGTTACGTGGAACAATCCCTCTTCCGTACCTACACCGGCCCTAAACCCCACCTCTTCCTCCGTTACATTGATGACTGTATCGGCGCCGCCTCGTGCTCCCACGAGGAGCTCGAACAGTTCATCCACTTCACTAACACCTTCCACCCCAACCTTAAGTTTACCTGGACCATCTCTAACAGCTGTCTCCCCTTCCTGGACCTCTCTGTCTCCATATCGGGCAACCATCTAGAAACCGATATTCATTTCAAGCCCACCGACTCCCACAGCTACCTAGAATACTCCTCCTCCCACCCACCTTCCTGCAAAAATGCTATCCCCTATTCCCAATTCCTTCGCCTCTGCCGCATCTGCTCCCAGGATGAGGCATTCCACTCCCGTACATCTCAGTTGTCCTCGTTTTTCAAGGACCGTAACTTCCCCCCCTCGGTGGTCAAGAACGCCCTCAACCGTGCCTCCCACATCTCCCGCACCTCATCGCTCACACCCCGTCCACACAATAAGAACCAAAAAAGAATCCCCCTCATCCTCACGTACCATCCCACCAACCTCCGGATCCAACGCATCATCCTCCGACACTTCCGCCATCTGCAATCCGACCCCACCACCAAAGACATCTTTCCCTCCCCACCCTTATCTGCTTTCCGGAGGGACAACTCTCTCCGTGACTCCCTTGTCCGCTCCACGCTCCCCTCCAGCTCCACCACACCCGGCACTTTTCCCTGCAACCGCAGGAAGTGCTACACCTGCCCCCATACCTCCTCCCTCACCCCCATCCCAGGCCCCAAGAAGACTTTCCACATCAAGCAGATGTTCACCTGCACATCTGCCAATGTGGTATACTGCATCCGCTGTACCCGGTGTGGCTTCCTCTACATCGGGGAAACCAAGCGGAGGCTCGGGGACCGCTTTGCAGAACACCTACGCTCGGTTCGCAATAAACAACTGCACCTCCCAGTCGCGAACAATTTCAACTCCCCCTCCCATTCCTCAGACGACATGTCCATCCTGGGCCTCCTGCAGTGCCACAACGATGCCACCCAAAGGTTGCAGGAACAGCAACTCATATTCCGCTTGGGAACCCTGCAGCCCAATGGTATCAATGTGGATTTCACAAGTTTCAAAATCTCCCCTCCCCCTACCGCATCCCAAAACCAGTCCAGCTCGTCCCTGCCTCCCTAACCTGTTCTTCCTCCCACCTATCCCCTCCTCCCACCTCAAGCCGCACCTCCATCTCCTACCAACCAACCTCATCCCGCCCCCTTGACCTGTCCGTCCTCCCTGGACTGACCTATCCCCTTCCTAACTCCCCACCTACACTCACCTTTACTGGCTCCATCCCCGCCTCTTCGACCTGTTTGTTTCCTCTCCACCTATCCTCTCCTCTATCCGCCTCCCACTCTCTCCCTATTTATTTCGGAACCCCCTTCCCCTCCCCCTTTTCTGATGAAGGGTCTCGGCCCGAAACGTCAGCCTCTCTGCTCCTATGATGCTGCTTGGCCTGCTGTGTTCATCCAGCCCTGCACCTTGTTGTCTCGGATTCTCCAGCATCTGCAGTTCCTACTATCTCCTCTTAGTTAAGCCTGGTTCTGACTTGGAACTATATTGCCATTCCTTCAACATTGCTTAATTTTAAAAAAACCCTAGAAATCTATCCCAAACAGCACTGGGGTGTAACTGACCCATTGGTTCTGCAGCAGTCCTGAAAGGGGTTTCCTATCAGCTGGTCAAGGGCAATTAAGGATGGGCAACAACAGTGGTCAAACCATTGATCCACACAGGCCTGAAAAACAAACAAAACGTTCAGGAGAAACTCAACAGGTCTGGCAGCATCTGTGGAGAGGCAAACAAACATATTCTATATAAGAATCAATAAAATGCATCCTGGTTTATTTCAATCAAACTTCTTGGTAACTGCGGTGTTACCAAGTTAACCAGTATGGTCTCAAATTCCCGCTCTATAAGTTAATCATGGAAAAGTAATGTTGTTTTAGGAGTCTTCCTCAGTGCTGGTTTAAATCAGCAATATTTGAGGAAAGCTTTCACAGGCCGGGCCCATACACAATAATTGTTGGTATCTCAGCACCCTAATAAAGGTTTGCCGGTCGGTGTCTTGCAGTTTCTTACCCTGTCAGAGGAGGCAACCGAGCGCGACACTTCCTCATAAGGCGCCACGTTCTCCCAAGTGGCGATGAAAGCATTGGTCGGAGTGAATGAGCTTTGAGGGAAACTTTTCCTGATCTCCCGTCCGGCGCGGTCAAGGATATCCGAGGAATGGTCTTGTCTGTAATAAATTCGCCCTCGGTCATTGCTGGTGTCGATATCTGACAAGTAAGGCGCTATCACCGGGAAATCAGTGGGGAATCCGTCATCCACATATTGAGTCTCTCGGGGCAAATCCTTAGTGGAGATGATCCCATTCGTTCCTACCTGAAAAATGAAGAGTTCAACCATTTATCCGGAACACAGTGCAACGCCCTGCCCAGTCTTTGTTCCTAAACTTAATGGCTACGATAAAATTCGTCTGAAAGTGCTTTGACTCGACTTAGAAATTATTGCTCTGAACTGTTTATTTGCAGACATGTCCAAATCTCTCTACACAAAATAAGTCAATATAATACCTCAATACAAATATCATTTCAGATCAGATCAGATTTAATTTCAGTTTGTCCTGCCTTAGCCTGGGAATGAACGCCCCATGTTTCAGTCCAGTTAGTTTCTCGAACTATTTCCTTTTCTAAATGATTGCGGGGCTCTGTGTAAACCGGCTTGTCACAACTGAACTGGGCTCGAATCGGAGAAGCGGTAACGGAAAATTGAGAGATAATACACCAACCAGGACAATGGGGCGGGAGGGGCTCTGGCTCCTTATACAATTGCCAGTAAAAGTGAACTACATGGAACTGCAGTTCTACTTACCAGCACACACATACACACACACACACACAAAAGCAGTAAATAGATTTGAAGGTACGACTTACGTAGAGTTGACTGAACTGTGTGTCATAAAAGACAAATGGCCTTTTGAGTTGTACAACTTGAGAGGTTTCATCATCGCCTTGCTGCAGGGTCAGGTCCTGTGTGCGTGGACCAAACGGGAAAAGCTCCTCTCTCTCAATTGCAGAAACCAAGCTGAGAAACCAGTGGAGTTTGAAAAGGGAAGTGAAGACCTTTCCCTGCATTCTGGAAGCGAACAAATGTGTTCCAAAGGGGAGGAGAAGCGGCTCTCTCACTCTGATCTCCTGGTTTTATAGCTGGCTTTATGTTTAACCCCAAGAACAGCCAATAGCCCCCGGGAGAGGGCTGAGCTACCCAACGCCGGCACTCATTGGTTTATGCCGAAACTGATCGACAAGTCTAGCAGCACTATTCCACATCTGGTTCCCATTAAACCGGCTCTTTCCCCGACTTTCTCATTGTACTCATTCGTTCAAATAGACAGACAGGACCTAAAGAAAACGCCGAGAAAAAGACAAACCACTGTTGGAAATGTTTGAAAGTGTCGGCGCGTACCCATTGGAAAAGCCCCAGGATATGTCCTAGAGTGCGGGCCACTCGAAACAAGAAGCATTCTCGTGTTCTTTGACACGTAGAAATAAAGGCACAAAAAAGCAGACTTTCCCCAAAGGCGACCAACCCAAATTCTGAGATGATAGAAACCTGGGAATTAGGCACCCACCTCGTGTAATCAAACTGATTACAAAGCGTGTCAATAGCACTGCACAAAACAGTCAAATGATAACATTGCTCTGAAAAACCCCAGAGAGCAACGGGATCTGTGATTTCTAATGACTCATCTCTGTTACAGTATACTCTACACGTCTGACCATCTGTATGCTTGGGGAAGGGGAAGGGGCCAGGAAGAAGATTCTCCCTAATTCCCAAACAGCCTGTTACAAATCCCAGCGGTTTCCCATTGGATTTCAAAGGCTCTCTGTCAGAAATAAGCTAAATTGCAGTTTGACGCTGATGGAACGCCACACACCCTTTTCCTATCAGCTACTCCCTGCTGATACTGATGAAGGGGATAAAATGTTCTAGCCCAGTTTGAGCTGGGACGATGTTCTGCAGGAAAACAGTTAATATGCCCAAAAGAAGTCCCGCTAAATTTCCTGCAATCCGAGATGCATGCTCTTTTATGTTTAGATGCTGAACTAGATACTGCGCCGTTGCATTTCAATATATCTCAAATTTATTCTTAGGTATTAGTAAAGCTGTGCAAAGGTAAGACCGAACCCGTTTACCAAGGCAAAAAGAAAACCCCAGAGGGATGCTGGAAATCTGAAACAAACGCAGAGAAGAAAGTGGGCAGGAGTTCTGAGGAAGAGTCAAAGCGGGCTCAAAATGTTAATTCTGTTTCTCTCTTCACAGATGCTGCCAGACGTTTACTAAAGAAGCTGGTCAAGAAAGAATGTAAACTTATCGAGGAGAAACGATTCCTGTCATTATCTGAAACAAATCAAAGCGCGTTTACACCAGTTAGCAGGCTCACCACCAGAAATTGTCTACAATTCTAGATCAGACAGCTGGGTTGCAACTATATTTTACTTGGAATTTTGAAGTGAAGGGATGTGGTGGAGAAAATGTCGGTGAACATCTAGTTATTTTACCGTAAATGGCGAAACATCAAGAAACCTTGTGCAGATAATGATCAGCAAATCAAAAGCACCATCACAGCCTGACTGGGCGTAGGAGGCGGCCATTCAGCCCTCTGTGCAACAGCTGACCGTTTGAAAGTGCGAATTAAACACTCCTCTTTCCGCTTCCTCTCGACAAAATGAATCCTGTTAGATCAATGAGGGAGATTTAAAAGGCTCTCTCGCCTTTTCTTTTCTGTTTTTATGTTGGGTTGTCATTTTGTTTGGAAACTGCAGCCGTTTAATTTTCGGTCGTGCCTCGCTGCAGGAACAGCAGCTAGAGGAAGCGATTTCACTTTTTACAGCCACCTGGGGATTTCAAAGGGACCCGCGGGGAACCCTCGGCACGTCATGAACACAGCGACGTGAGGAAAACTTCCTCCTGTGCGGTTTGGGCCCTTCTTCAGCCAATGAGCAGGATTCGAGCTAAATAAGGGAAAAAAAATCCCTTTAACCTCAGCCCATTGTTTACTCAGACGGTTTTGTTTAAAATGGGATATAATGCTTGCGGACGAAAAGAAACTTGACTGAAACGTAACCGGATTAAGGTTTTTGTTTAAGTTATAGCGAATGTATTCCATTTTAACTGCTCACTATGCGAAGTTCACCAGGATATGATGGTCCTGACAGTTCCACAACTGAGGTGCAACTGAACTGCACTTATATACAGGGTTTTTAATTCGTTCTTGGGAGATGGGCGTCGCTGGCTATGCCCAGCCCATCTTTTGGTTATGTGACACATGGCGTATTTGCGAAGCGAATGAAGATATATTCACGAATGTTTCGGTAGTCTCATTCCTGATCCGTCGCATTACTCACGCAGGCGAGAACCCTACAGTCTTTCATCGGAACGAAGAGACGACCAAGCTGAAATATTTAACTCGGTTTCTGTTGCCATTTCAGATTTCCATCATCTGCCGTGCCTTGCCTTTGATTTGAAGTCGTTTCTTCCTGGAGTTGTCTTTTAATGCTGTACACCAGTTACTCTAAACACGGGTGTACAGGATACACGAGACTTGCAGTGAATATGACATGGAAGATCACACCGTCCTAACCAATTGGAGCTTTAAATTTATGATAACTATCTCCTCTTAAGTTGATTATCTTTAAAATCGGACCAAAATAAAGTCATTTTGTCACTGCTATTGTACTAGATCATTCACCCCATCATTAAAACACAGCAGAGATTGAGAGGATTGACTTTCACTTCTCAGTGTATCGAAGGGATACGGAAAGGATAGTCTGTTTGTTCTAAATGCGATTGGACTGGATGTGACTCTCAGTATTTTGTCTGGCAGTGTTCAAAGGAGAATTCATATGACAGTGCGGGCAGTCAGAATCCATTCATGTGTTATTCCGAAAGTAAGTCCCAGATAAGATCTGGCTGATTAGGAAAAGGCTTTCGGTACTAATCAAAGGATGTCACCACTCTTTTTTGGGCAAAACATTGGTCTTCCGATACTCTGACCTAAATGAGGGTCCTCTTAGACAATTCGGCAGAAGGAGACTGGCAGTCCTGATCCCCACAGTCTTCAAAACAAAAACACAAGTTACTCCTCAACAACGTTATAGAGGTCATGACTAAATGTTTTTTTTCTTCCTCATCTTAGCTTGAACACAATGGGAGACGAGAAAAAGCAATGTACAACTGATATAGGAAATGTCGCTGGACATTCTGCACTGTAATGCTGCTCTCCCCACGTTCATCCACTCGCCATTAGAAGAACACAATTGAAACTTGTTCTTAAGGCTTGCTGATGAGTGCGGAGATGTTGTGAAAAGGTCTGCCCTGAGGTGATAATGTGGGGAAAGGAAAAAAATATAAAAAGAGGGACAATGGCTCAGATAGCTCTTATTCAGGTCATGATGGACGCTTGAGGAATAACTATAATTTGAACAGGTATAAAAGTTTAGGGCTGATAATTTAATTCAAAAGTTTTAATTCTGAGCCATTTGTTGGTGATGGTTCTAGAGACTCAATTTTTACTCCTTGTTGCATTACCATCTCTCTTTGCCTTTCCTTAAGGGTTGAATTTTAATTTTCAGACAAGTTTGGACAGACAAATCTGGCAGCTTACTAGAAATCCAAAAAAACTTTCAAGGGTGCGTTTGGCAGTATGATTTTCCCAACCCAACACACCCAACCTTGCATTTGGCTTCCAGGTTTCCCAATCACCTAGGAGTGTGATGCCAACCTCCATCAGTTTATCCCAGCTCCATACTTAAAGACAGCTTCACAATTGAAACTGCATCCAGGAATCATGACACAGCCAAGAGCTTCATGGAGGGATGTTTAACCCAAAAAGGCAGCACTATATTTCTCCAATACTTGGACATCCTGCTACAGTTTGTTCACGGGTATAGTGAGACTCTGTTCCCCATGAGGCAGAAAGAAGTCAACTTCAGAAGACAAACGTACTTGACTGGATATTGCTGAAGAGGTCAAGGGTAGTGCCTCATTCAGGTACAGTGCCACAAGAGATTCAGTGATCTGCCCAGGATTGGAAAGGTGAGTGAAATAGTACATTCAAATACAAACACCCTCAATCTGCCTTCACCAGCTTTATCCTGTGTTTCACTCTCAGAGCAACAATGCATGCAGTAGTATCACTCCCTCTCCAGAGGTCTACCCTCTCAAATCCCCAAGCCAAAACCACTGGCATTCTTTTCCATCACATAGCAATGTCACATTCAACCTTCAATAACCTTCCATAAATGATGCCCTTCCATCCTCTTCAAACATCATGCAGTTCACATTCACAGATCTGGTCTTTCTTTTCTTTGGACGAAAGTGCAGAATACCAGAGAGAGGCCTGGTACAGGATGTAGCCTTCCAGACACTTCCATGTTGAAAGTTGTGGAGGTGACGCTAGATATAAACTATGTGTCTGCCTGTCTGATCATTGGTGATAGAGACATAAACTAGCCAAGCTACAGAGTGGCAACATTGCATAGCATACAAGCATAACATTCACTCCTCTAGACTTGACCATAAGCCAATAAAATATGATGCTTTGCACAATGATGTCACAGAATTCTTTCATCTAGTATAGCTCAAACTCATATTCCATTTCTCATAGGTCTTGAGCAGATGATGCCAGAGGAGGAAGACCCCTAGAAAAAGGAAACATCATCACACAACTCCATCTATCACTGTATGCCATGGTGGGTTTGAACAGACAAGTTAGATTGTCAGCTTTGGTAAAGCACACAACACAAATGAGCAGAAACAGTGGCAAGTCCCCAGTGGACGGTGCAGAATACTCCAAGCTCTGTTCAGCTTGGTGTAAATGCTGAGCCTTATTGATTGTTGGTGAATAGGATTATATTTGAGCAGTGGTAAATAGCGAAATTCTCTCAGTTTTTCCAGAAGGAATGAAAACCATTGGAAACACACAGAGACCCAAGTAGACACCATGTCTAGCTTGGAGTGCCATATTGCTTCAAGCCTTCTTACCAATATTATGGCCATGGAAAGAAAGTGACGATGGATGTTCCATGTACAATGATGCAGGAAGCCAAGTACGTTTTCGCCTTCAATGAGCTGCACACTTAGACCACCAACTTAACCGGGACTGAAGAAAGTGACACTATGTACATTCAGTGTCTCACCGAACTGCAGTAAAAGTGATTTCCAACTCTAGGCTAAGGAGGAATGTGATAAACCACACAAGGAAGGATGGTGAAAATGAGGTAGGCACAGTGCTCAAAACACTTCTACTTTGCCTCCATGCCCCTATTTAGAGCCCCACATCCCAATGACTTTATTTGACCCTGTATGTTTTCAGTCTTTGGCAGGACCCTCACGGGCACCGAATCTCAGAGGATGTGAACAAGAACATTTAAGCAAAGGAAGGAAACAAGTCACCAAAAGATATTTCCATCCCCACCCCTATCTGTTTTCTGTAGGGTCTGCTCACT